AATATTAAAGATGGTTTAGCTTAGATCTGCTGAAACTCCAGGAGGAGCCTTTTAAACATGATGCCCATTCTACAGTTCCTTTATTTAGAAGCATTTCACAAGCTTCTTCTTAAAATTGTTCATATATTTTACAAATACATTCCAAGAAGGCCAATAGATAAAACAATGTTCAAAGATAGCAGAGGATCTTTTTAGGAATGGAGTATTTACCCCTAGCTTTATGTTTGGATGTACATGTTAAAATAACTAATTAGTTGCAGCATCACAAATGGCAGCCGTAAACATTGAATTTCAGTCTTTCCAAATAACCAGACTTGGCTTTAGATCTGGACTTTGAATAGGCCGTTCTAACAGCACTGTATGCTTTAAGCTAAACTGTTCCTCTGCAGCACTGGGTGGATGATTTATCTTTTAATTAAAGGTGATAATTGATGTTTTTAACATGTTTTTGCAGTTCTGTATTTAATATTTAGGTCCATTCATCTTGTTATGAACTCTGACCAACTTTGATGTCCCTGTGTAAAAAAAAGCATTACCTCACCATCATGTTTAACAGCTTCACAGGCATCATGCTTCTCTCTAGCTCTTTTCTAGCCTGTATTTTCAGCTGCAAAATAGGTTCTATAGTGGAAAACCAACAATTTAGGCCTTTTGAACTTGAAGCACAAACAAACACAGATGAAATTACCGTATAGTTCTTATTCTTAAAACAACAGCACTGGTCTTTCTCTGCTAATCCTTTATATCTGTTTATAACATGCCCAGACAAAATGTGTTAATTTCAGGTAATAAATCCAGGCTGAAATTGTTGTGTAACTTCCTTCTGCTATGCAGCTCTCAGTCTGTGATGAAATATGGTAAAACCAATGATTCTTTTATCACAGCAGGGAAAGATCCAGGCACATCAGGAAAATACCTCTACAGTTATGACTTTATGGACTGCTGCTTACCAATAGGGGGGAGATTGTTCTCCCAGGGGGAGTTTTGCTCTGACTCTGAGGGGAGGTTTCAGCATGCTGAGGCAAGCTTTACTGTCTCACTTTGCCTCACCTCAATCCTTCTTTTTGTGAGGAAATCTCAAAGCAGTTCTGATTGCTGCTATTTTCGGCTTTTGGCACCTTTTTTAACCCTGAAATGGATTCTGAGCAGATTGACTGAGAATGCAGGATTTAGTGGATTCTCATTCTACACCAACAAATTTGGTTGATGGTCAAAATGGATATCCTCAAGGTAGGGTGACAAGCTGACGTGTTTTAGTGATCTAGATTAGTGGACTACCTCACCTTTGGTCTAAAAATGTCCTATTCTTCAGCCAACTCAGGCTTTGTTTTTTGCTCAGAAGACCCAACATGTTTTTTCTCAAAAAGGTGTTTTGACAACACGATTACCTTACATCCCACTTCCTCTTTCCCAGGTAGGAGGAAAGAAATGCAGAAGAGAGTCTTTACCAGATGGATGAATGTGTTCCTGCAGAGAGTAAGGGCGTGGACCATTACCTTTTCACTTCACTTGGTTCCATTTCTCACAAGAATACTTCATGTTTCTGTTTCTTTCTAGCGCGATCCTCCACTTAAAGTGTGCGACCTGTTTACTGACATTCAGGATGGCAGAATGCTGATGGCCCTGCTGGAGGAGCTGTCTGGCTGCAAGCTAGTAAGAACTCCCCTCATATGGGGAAGCTATTTTGTTTTATGCCCAGAGTATGCCCT